TTGAAATAATGAAATCGGTGTAAGTTGTAAACTGGTAAATTGGTCGTTTACCGGCAAATTGGATGGTTCCACCCACCCAATTGGACTCCCAGAGGCTATTTGGGACCATGGTTAACATTTCGGCAATTTTTATATCCGGGCGAAAAAAAAAGTCAAAAATTTCCAAAGTTGAAGACTAATATCCACGCGTTTTGAGAAATTTCGAATGTTTCGGGGTCCGGTGTTGAAAAACATTGAGATTTTAGGGGATACATCTCGGGGTCATATAATGTCGTTTGGATCCATATATGATCATTATATGTTATCATTAATGTTCGTGGTAAGCTTGAGTTAATGAAATCAGTGCAAGTTGTAAACCGGTAAATTGGTCGTTTAAAGGCAAATTGGATGGTTCCACCCTGCCAATTGGAATCCCGGAGGGTATTAGGGACCATGGTAATTATTTCGGTAATTTTTATTTCTGATTGAAAAAAGTTCTAAAAATTCCAAAATTGAAGGCTAATATTCACGCTTTTTGAGAAATTATGAATGTTTCGGGTAGAGATGTCAATTCGGGTAAACGGGTCGAGTTTGGGTCGATATGAGTGGGTCGGGTCAACTCGGGTGTGGTCAATTCGGATTAATTTCCTAACCTATGCGGGTCGGGTTTGGGTTGTGTCATGATTGAGTCGGGTTACATCGGATTATACTTCTTTTCGGGTTTGGGTCGGGTTACATTCAGGTTGTGTGAACAATAGGTCAGGGTTAATTTGGGTTTTCACGGGTTAAATCGGGTTAGGGTAATTCTCGGGTTCGAGTCGTGTTTAGTTCAAGTTAATAATTTGCGGGTTAGAATCAGGTCGGGTCATTCTCGGGTTTGAGTCGGGTTTGGTTCAAGTCAATAATTTGCGGGTTATAATCAGGTCGGGTCATTTTCAAGTTGGGTCATTCTCGGGTTCAAGTCAGGTTCGGTTCAAGTCAATAATTTGCGGGTTATAATCAGGTTGGATCATTTCCAAGTCGGGTCATTCTCGGAGTCAAGTCGGGTTATATTCAGATCAATAATTTGCAGGTTACAATCTAGTCGGGTTATTTCCAAATCACACTACTTGAAAAAGGCTCTTACGAATTTCTTCCGACGGACACAAAATTCCGTTGGAAACATCGTAAATTCTGATGGATTTTTATTCTGTCGGTTAATTCCGATGGATTTTAACAATCCGTAGGAAATTTCGACGGAATAAAAATCCGTCGAAAAAAATACGATTTTCGACCGAAAATTCCTTCGGAAAGTGAAATTTCCGACGGAATATTCCGTTGGAATATACTTGTATATTAAAAAAAACACGGGCCATCTATTCTCTTAAAACTCTAATGTCCCTAAATGCTTTCCTCCCTAAATGTATTCCGCCCCGTCTCTCCTTCTTTCTCATCTGCCCTTCTCTCCTTCTCTTTCTCTCTCTTCCGCCTCTCTCTCCTCCGCTTCTCTCTCCTCCGCCCCTTCTTTTTCTTCTTCTCTTCCTCTCTCCTCCTCCATCTTCTCCTTCTTTCATCTCTTTCCTCATATTTCGTCTTGGTGTTTTGCTTGGTCGAATTTAATGGTTTCTTTGGTCAAATTCGACCATGAAAAGTGTAGATCTAGACTTTTCATATTTAAAGCAAATTCAAGAATTAAAAACCTAATTCAGGTAATAAGGTATTTTTTCGACTTTTTAATTATTTTTTTTTATAAAAAAAAAAATCGGTTGTTGGCTGGTGGTTTGGGTGATTTGGGTTTGTTTGGGTGGTTTGGGTGTGTGGTTTTGGTGGTTTGGGGGTGTGAGTTTGGGTCGGTTTAGTTGGTGGTTGGGTTGGTTAGGGTAGATCTGGGTTTGGGTGTGGGTTAGGTGACATGGGGTAGTGGGTTCGGTGGAGTGTAGGGGCTGGTGGGGTACCGGGCTGGTGGGGTGGGGGATTAGGGTGGTGGGGCTGGTGGGGTACCGGGCTGGTGGGGTGGGGGATTAGGGTGGAGGGGCTGGTGGGGTACCGGGCTGGTGGGGTAGGGGATTAGGGTGGAGGGGCTGGGGGTGGTGGAGGTGGTAATACGTCGTGCCGGTGGTTGTGCGACGTTTTTTTTTAATTCCAGAATATTATTTTCCGACGAAATTCCCGTCGGAAGTTTCCGATTGAATTTACTATTTCGTCGAAAATTTCCGATGGATTTTACTATTCCGTCGGAAATTTCCGTAACTTGCAATTTGATTTTAAAAATGTTGCAACTTGCAATCGATCAATTAGGGTCTGTTCTCTTACGTTGAAATTTAGTTCAGTTCAGTTCAGCTCAGCTCAGCTTAGTTCAGTTCAGTTCAGTTCAGTTCAGCTCCTAATTTCCTTCTCTTATAAAATATTCATTTCAGTTTAGTTCAACTCAGTTCAGTTCAGCTCATTTCAGTTCAGCTCAGTTCAGTCAATGAGAACAGACCCTTAGTTACATATGAAAAAGAGAGTGCATGTTGGGATCAATTTGAAATAGAATGATGGATTACATTATTAGACCAATATGCAAATGAACAATAAAAACACTTAGACAAGTTCCTTTCATACTAGATTAATTACTAACCCTCATTTCCTTAATATTGAACTCCCTCCGTCTCCAAAAGAACAACCCGTTTGGGTTGATTTCGCGGGTATTAAGAAAGTTAAATAAAAAGAAGTAAAAGTATATTGGAAAAATAAATTTACATGGGATTTGTAAAAAAGTAGAAAGAGAAAGTAATAAAAGTATATAGAAAAACAAAATTTTATATGGAGAAGCTAATTTTGCACAAATATTATTGCAAATTTGTGAGGATTTTAATGCAAATGGGTCATTCTTTTTGGGACTAAATTAGGCCAAATGGGTCGTTCTTTCGGGGACGGAGGGAGTAACAATTTGTTATTTGATTATCACACTGGTCAACGTATCAACTTCACCATTGTAAAAAGTTAATATATTGATAATGTACATTTGAACAGATCCATTAACAGATTAACTAATATTCTCTCCGTCCCTTAATACAATGCTTCTTTCTCTTTATTATGTGAGTAATAAATGCTCGAAAGAGACATTGTATTAAGGGACGGAGTGAGTACGGTTTGTATGCTAATTAAAACATGAGGTTATAGGTAAAGAGAAACAGACCTAATGGCCAAGATGATAATTTATTAATCTGTGTGTTGACTTAGTGAAATTCGTGATACACGGAGTACTTTGTATTTTATTTTCTTTTTGGAAATCAAATGGTTTCAATTCACACTATCACACATGAGTGACTTTACTACTCATCAGTCATCACGTGGCGCAGAGGAGCTTCAAATGACTAATGTCAAATGTTCATAGTTAATGTATGTAGAAAGTCAAACCATTATAATGGAGATTGTATTTAAAACTCAATTAGTTTGTGAGTCTGCGCAATATTATAAATCACCTAATTAAATAAACTTGAAGGATATATAGGTGAAGTTTGAAGTATACTCTATGATGTACCCTTGGGAGGAGAAGTATTGTGAATCTGTGACTGAGTACAAATTAACCTTAAGACTCTAATTTCCGGGAATGAATTTTTAGTTGAGTTGATCATTGACATATTATTAAGTGTCTAGTACATAACAAGAACGCAATTACGCGATAATATGAAAAGATCTATATTACATCCACAATTAAGTTCAAAAGACTCTCTTGTTTGATGATGTATTATAAACTAATTTTTAGATTCCAACCGTCAAATAAACCTATTGGTCCCAAATTAAAAACAAAAAACCAAGGAAAGTTGGAGAAAAAAATAATAATTTGAGATCGAAAACCTAAGTTGTGATATCATGTTAGATTTCGGGAAAACTCCTCAGATTGGAGTGTGTACCATTGATTATAATATATAGAGGTTTACAAGAGTCGTAATCCTATTATAATAAGGATACAAGGTATAACAAAATATATAAAAAATTATCCTAATCTGCGACAAATATTATCGTAAATATAATATCTATCAATACTAAATTGTAAAATGGCGTAAAGTATATCATGTATAGTTAATTGCATACATAGAAATGTCACCATTATATTGGTTAAGCATAAGTTCAATGGGGGTGGAGGATGAAGCTTTGATTCATCTTGGAAAAAGGGCAAAAATTAAAATTGGAGATAGATTTATTTTAGGAATAATCAATATCGATCAAACTAAATTCTCATGTCACATGAGTTTTGTTAAAAAAACCACTCTTAAACGATTGAAAGATCTAAAAGTAATAGTCACTATTGCACAACCTCACCAAATTGGTATAGCAAAACTCGAGTGTAAAATTAAAAAAAGAATATCCAAAAATTGGATCTAGTTGACTAATATACTCAACATATGAAAAAGGCAAGTAAACAGTGAATGAAATCAAAAGAAGCGTTGACCGCAAATAATGGCGGGAAAAATCACTCTGTTATGTTTCAAACTCTGATGAACACAGAGTGTGTACAGAGTAGAAAAATGGCTCGAAACCCTACAATTTCAGAATCAGAAAGAATAAAAGAAGGAAGACCAAATTATAAGCCTTGTTTTTGTACTTATAAACTGGATCCACTAAAACCTCCCTCTGTTTTTAGTTAAATTAATCAAATATTTCATGGAAATTGAAATTAAAATCCTTAATTAAATTCAAAGATCCGTCCTCAGCTCCGTTGCTTTCGCATACCTCGTCTTCTTCATTCTCTAACTCCTTCCTTTGCATCACCGACGCTTCGCTTCAAGTTGTAGTAATAAACAAAAAAGTTCAAACTACAACTTGAAGAAACTAATTAAAGTATATTATTTTGAAAATTGATAAAAAATGTAACATTAAAAAATACAAAGTAAAGAACACTCCAAGCAAAAAAGCGGGAATTGTAGTATAGGTATAAGCCTTGTTTACCATGAAGTGCGCCGCAATAGATCCCAAACACGTCCATTTTGACTCCACCTTGTCATAATTTTTATATTTAAGATGGGTTCTGGGAAACACACACACTTGTACTCGTACTTCATTTATAATTCTTCTTTCTCGTCTCTTTCGTTTACGAGTCGGGGGATCGAGTTTTTTTCTCCTGTAACTAAGTAATGTATAGCGTTATATTTCCTCTTTTGTATCATGGTGCTTAACTTGAGTGTTTGATAAATTTGCGTACATTTCATCACCCATATTTTACTCTAAAATGCTTTACGCATTTGCTAGACGTACATGTAATGCTTGAGTGTGCGTGTTTATACTTACATTTTACTTCGCACATTCTGTTCATAATTAGCTGTCACATAGTAATGTATGATGATCATAATTTAAACGAGAAATTGAAATAGTTTTTTTGCAAAAAAAAAAGTAAACTAATGAATTTTCTTTTCAATAAAGAGATGGTAGTCTAATAGTAGTTGTATTTTTTTTCACTTTGTCTAAGCAGGTTGGATTAAGTAATTAATCCTCATACAATGGGACGTATAACGTTCTTGTATTTCGTCGGAATTTTGGCCTTGTCAAGTATTTTCGGAGTTGATGCAGAAAGTCCTTACAGATATTATGATTGGGAAGTAACATACGGAACAATATCACCTCTTGGAGTTCCTCAAAGGGTAGGGTTGGTTTCATAACAACATTGTAAACAAGCTTAATCAAAGTAATTTTTCATACTAATTTTCTTCATCAAAATGCAGGGTATTCTAATAAATGGCCAATTTCCTGGTCCAACAATTGAATGTGACACCAATGATAATGTCATTATTTCTATAAGAAATAGTTTGGATGAGCCATTTCTCATGACATGGTTAGTATCATCAATTCCTTTTAGTAGGTTTGTAATTTGCTATTATTACATACTTATGATTTCTTCCTTGGTTATAGGAATGGGGTTTGGCAAAGGAAGGTGTCGTGGCAAGACGGTGTACTCGGAACCAACTGTCCTATCCCTCCACACTCAAACTGGACCTACACAATGCAAGCCAAGGATCAAATTGGTACCTATATGTACTTCCCTTCCACGGAGTTGCATCGACTGGCCGGGGGTTTTGGTGCTTTCATTATTAATAAAAGGTCTGTCATTGCGCTCCCATACACTGAGTCAGCAGCCGCATTCACCCTCCTTGTTGGAGACTGGTACAAGACTGATCACAAGGTTCGTAAGCGTAGTCACAGTCACACTAAGTAAAAATGTAGCAAATTAAGAACAATTTTGTGTATATATAAAAGAGTGTTACTAGATTATTTCATAATGCAAATTTCATCTAGGAAAGATTTGTTTTCTTGTATAGATGTATGTTACGGTTTCAATATCGACTCACGGTTTCAATGCATATATGATTTGACACAGGAACTCCAAAAAAAGCTGGACAATGGAGAAAGTATGCCCATGCCAGATGGCTTGCTTATTAACGGTGATCCAAGCAACACAGTTTTCAGTGGTGAAGCAGGGAAAACTTACTTGTTTCGAGTGGCAAACGTAGGGACAATGACATCCATCAATATTAGGATTCAGGGGCATATGATGAAGCTTGTTGAGATTGAGGGTTCTCATGTTCTCCAAGAAATCTACGAGTCACTCGATGTTCATCCAGGCCAATCTTTAGCTTTCTTGGTTACCCTCCATGGCTCGGCCAAGGACTACTACATAGTCGCATCAACTCGTTTTGACAGAACGTCTATAGACGCCACTGCCATACTTCATTACAATGGTTCAGATATCGGCCCTTCTCATCCTTTGCCCGTTGGCCCTACTTATCAAGTTCATTGGTCCATGAAGCAAGCCAGAACTTTCAGGTAAATCCTGTTTCCATCATTGCCTTTTGTGACTCTCTGGATATATGATTGTAAAAATTCAAGGTCATATTAATCATGGGAAATTCCCTGTATGTTTCTCATAGTGAGAAACGAAATTTGTTTCTCATGGGGGTATTTTCGTGAATAAATCAACAACTTTTTTATTATTGTGGGCTCCACAGCTGAATAAAGTTGAATAAAGTTGTTGGTTTATTTACGAAAATGTAATGTGAGAAACATGAGAAAGTGGGGCATTCTCATTAATCATAGTCTAGCTTAACCTTATGACCGTTTTTCTCTTTGATATAGATGGAATCTGACAGCTAATGCTGCAAGGCCTAACCCTCAAGGATCTTACCGTTATGGAGGAATCCAAGTAACTAAGACAATTGTTTTGGAAAATTCTGTTGGAGAGGTCAATGGCAAGTTACGTTATGGGGTCAACAATGTTTCCTACGTAAACCCGGATACACCACTGAAACTTGCTGACTATTACGGTATTCCTGGTGTTTTCGACCTTAACACGAGTAGAGATCAACCAACACCAGGGCCTATGATCTCCGGCACCACGGTTTATGGGACAGAACTACATGATTTTGCAGAAATCATCTTCCAAAACAATGAGACGGACACCCAATCTTGGCATCTTGATGGCCATAACTTCTTTGTTGTCGCGTAAGCTTCTATCCATCTACCATGCTTAAAGTTTGATTAGGTTGAAATTCTTGATTCTAATACAAGGTTCATATTTAATTTCAGATTTGGTGCGGGTACATGGAGTCCAGATGTTAGAAGAAAATACAATATGGTTGATGCTGTTTGGAGGAGCACCGTCCAGGTAAACTTAAAGTTATACTAGTATTACTATAACAAACAAAAATTTCGTGTCAATTTATACTACCTACGATACAGGTTATATGTAACGATTTGACATAAAATAGAGAGGAAAAATGTCTAATTGTTGTACATAACTTGCAACAGTGGTAGTATTTAACTGTCTGCCTATGTAACAAGTCAAACAAGTTGATCGTGCGTTCAATTATGATTGTGATATGCTTATTAGTTTAAACATAAAGTATTTTATCTTCGATGTGATTAAAAGTGTTTATTTTTCGATTGTAGGTGTATCGAAATTCATGGACAGCAATATTAGTATCTTTGGACAACAAAGGAATGTGGAATTTAAGGTCAGCAATATGGCACAGGCAGTACTTGGGACAGGAAGTGTATATCAGGGTATGGAACGATGAAAAAAGTCTGTTTACAGAGAGTGACATCCCTCCAAATGCTCTCAAGTGTGGAAAGGCTGCTAATTTATAGATTTAGTTTATATATTGTAGTTTTCTTGTATTGTACTCATTTCAATTTTTTTTCTTGATTTTATATTTTCCTATTGTGGGGGTATTTATTTTCCCAAAAAAGGAAAAATCAGTCACAAGGGTATGACTGTCCAAAAAAAGAGGGGGAAACAAGCTTATAAGGAGGGATAAGAAAAGAAATTCAACTGTACCTTGATCATATATCTCAATCCAAAATTATAATAAATATATTGAGGTATTTTTCTTATTAAAGCAAGATGATCAGAAAGCATATGTTAATTACGGGTTTGGGCAGCACCCGTCACGGAAGAGTGCAAATCCACCCCTTTATAAGACCAAGAAGGTTCCACCTCAAAATCATATGGTAATGAGGGGAGTAGCCCTTTAGCATTATATTGTGATGATAACTCTTGAATTCTTTCAATGTAAGATTCCATTACTACTACACTCCCCCTTTAGTGTTTTAGTGTGGGACAAGAGAATGCTCACATGTGGGTTGTTCATAGGCTCAACAACACACTTTAATGTTGGTCCAATTATGTAATATGAGCCCAACCTATCTCGTTTCTACTGCATATAATGACCCAGTATGTGTTGCTTTCTAATCCATTCAAAAAAGCCCAAGTTGTAACATGAAAGTACAGAACAAAAATAAACCCAAAAGATCAACGAACCACAATTTTATTTTTTTTTTAATTACATGAATAGACCACAAAAACTTTTTACTTACACCTCTCAAGAGTAACAATCTATTGGTTCTAACTTCTAACAAAGCTAAAAAAAAAATAAAAAAAAAAAAAAAAAAAAAAAAATTAACTTCTAACAAAGCTTATTATTTTTGCCACTGCTTTTATTTGTAAAGGAATTAGGAGATGATAGCAAACTACCACGAATTCATGATAAATTTTTGTTGTATGAGAACTTTTCAGCCTCTAATAGCTTGAGTCTTTATTGACTCTAATAACATCTATTGTATTGAATTACGCTTAGATGGTATCATTTTAATATCAACAAAGACGTATATTGCTACTGATAAAGCTTATTTTGTGTTTGTTTGTATTAATAAAGAAGATTTTTGGTATTGAATTGGTACTAAATTAGCACAATTAAATACTACTCCAATAGGCGTTAATAGAGCTGTCAATTCGGGTAAACGGGTCAGGTTTGGGTCGGGTAAGAGTGGGTCGGGTCAACTCGGGTTGGGTCAATTCTGATTAATTTCATAACCTATGCAGTCGAGTTTGGGTTGGGTCATGCTTGAGTCGGGTCATATATCTTACTGGGTTTGAGTCGGTTTTGGATCGGGTTAATAACAGGAGGGGTTACATTCGGGTAGAGTGAACAATAGGACAAGTTTAATTTGGGTTAAAACGGGTTAGGGTAATTCTCGGGTTTGATTCAAGTCAATAATTTGCGGGATAGAATCAGGTCAGGTCATTCTCCGGTTTGAGTCGGGTTCGATTCAAGTCAATAATTTGCAGATTATAATTAGGTCGGGTCATTCTCAAGTTCGATTCGGGTTCGTTTCAAGTCAATAATTTGCGGGTTATAATCAGGTTGGGTCATTTCTAAGTCGAGTCATTCTCGGATTCAAGTCGGGTTATGTTCAAGTCAATAATTTGCACATTACAAACAGGTCAGGTCATTTCCAAGTCAGGTCATATTCAGGTTCAACTAACTATAAATAAATAATTATCATTTTTATCAAGCCAATTATTTCCTTTGACTATAATATATATGGCAATAAACTAGGGAATTATAGTCTATAATTTAGGAAGATAATTAACTCATTTGGCCATATAACAAATATATATTATATTAAACAATTTGGGTTGAATTTAGGTCAGGTCAAAAACAAGTCGTGTTGATTTCGAGTCAGGTTAGTAAACGAGCTGGTTGAATTTTTGGGTTGGGTAAGTTATAAGTATGGTAAAATTCAGGTCGGGTTAATAACAAGTCGGATTGAATTTGGGTCAGGTCAATAACAAACCGGGTTGATTTTGGGTCGGGTTTGTAGCAGGTTGGGTTTAAATTTGGGTCGGGTTAGGAACAGGTCGGGTTGAATTCAGGTCAGGTTAGTAACAACTCGGGTTAAATTCGGGTTTTGCAAGTTAAAACAGGTTTGGGTCAATTTCGGTTCAAGTCGGGTACAGTGCAAGTTAATTAAATTGGCCGTTGTAAATCGGTAAATTGGTCGTTTAAAAGCAAATTGAATGATCCCACACACCCAATTGGACTCTTGGAGGTCATTTCAACAATATTTATTTTTGGGCGAAAAAAAGTAAAAAATTCCACACGCTTTTTGAGAAATTTTGGAGGTCTCGGGGTCCAGTGTCAAAAAGTATTGAAATTCTATGGGATACATCTCGGGGTCATATAATGCTGTTTGGAACCATATATGATCATTATTTGTTGTCATAAATGTTCGTGGTAGGCTTGAATTAATGAAATCGGTGCAAGTTGTAAACGTGTAAATTGGTCGTTTAAAGGCAAATTGGATGGTTCAACCCACCCAATTGGACTCCCGGAAGGTATTAGGGACCATGGTAAACATTTCAGTAATTTTTACTTTCGGGCGAAAAAAAAATCAATAATTTTCAAAATTAAAGGCTATTTATCCACGCTTTTTGAGAAATTTTGGAGGTTTCAGGGCTCGTTGTAGAATGTATTAATATTTTAGGGGATACATCTCGGGGTCATATAATGCCGTTTGGAATCATATATGATCATTATATTTTGTCATAAATGTTCGTAGTATGCTTGGGTTAATGAATTCCGTATAAGTTGTAAACAAGTAATTATATTGGCCGTTCAAAGACAAATTGGATGGTTCCACGGTTCCACCAACACAATTGAACTCTCGGACGGCATAAGGGACAATAATAAACATTTCGGCAATTTTTATTTCCGGGCAAAAAAAGTCAAAAAATTCCAAAATTGAAGACTAATGTCCACGCTTTTGGAGAAATTTTGGAAGCTTCAAGGCACGGTGTCGAAAAGTCTTGAAATTTGAGAACATAAATCTCGGGGTCATGTAATGCTGTTTGGAACCATATATGATCATTATTTGTTGTCATAAATGTTCATGGTAGGCTTGAGTAAATGAAATCAGTGCAAGTTGTAAACTAGCAAATTGGATAGTTCCACCCACCCAATGGGACTCTCGGAGGGTATAAAGGACCATGGTAAAAATTTCGGCAATTTTTATTTCCGGGCAAAAAAAAAGTCTAAAAATTCCAAAAACTAAAAGGTAATATCCACGTTTTTCGAGAAATTTTGGAGGTTTTAAGGCCCAGTATCGAAAAGCTTTGAGATTCATGGAAATACATTTCGGGTCATATAATGCCGTTTGGAACCATATATGATTATTATATGTTAGTTGTCATAAATTTTCGTGGTAGGCTTGAGTTAATTAAATCGGTGCAAGTTGTAAATCGGTAAATTTGTCGTTTAAAGGCAAATTGGATGGTTCCACCCACCCAATGGGACTCTCAGAGGGTATAAAGGACCATGGTAAAAATTTCGGCAATTATTATTTCCGGGCAAAAAAAAGTCTAAAAATTCCAAAAATTAAAGGTTAATATCCACGCTTTTTGAGAAATTTAAAAGTTTCGGGGTCCGGTATCAAAAAGCGTAGAGATTTAAGGGAATACAACTCAGGGTCATATAATGTCGTTTGGAACCATATATGATCATTATTTGTTGTCATAACTGTTAGTGGTAGGCTTGAATCAATTAAATCAGTGCAAGTTATAAACCGGTAAATTGGTTGTTAAAAGGCAAATTGGATGGTTTCACCCACCCAATTGGACTCGCAGAGGGTATTAGGGACCATGGTAAACATTTCAGTAATTTTTATTTTTAGGCGAAAAAAAATAAAAAAATTTCAAATTTGAAGGCTATACGCTTTTTGAAAAATTTTGAAGGTTTCCGGGTTTGTTGTCGAAAAGTTTTAAGATTTTAGGGGATACATCTCGGGGTCATATAGTGTGGTTTGGAACCATATATGATCATTATATGTTGTCATAAATGTTTGTGGTTGGCTTGAATAGATGAAATCGGTACAAATTGTAAATTAGTAAATTGATGGTTTAAAGGGAAATTGGATGGTTCCACCCGCCCAATTGGACTCCCGGAAGGTATTAGGGACCATGGTAAACATTTCGGCAATTTGTACTTCTAGGCGAAAAAAAGTCAAAAAATTCCGAAATTGAAGGCAAATATCCACGCTTTTTAGAAATTTTACAAGTTTCGGGGCTAGCTGTCGAAAAGGCTTGAGATTGTAGGAGATACTTTTCAGGTTCATATAATTCCGTTTGGAACCATATATGATCATTATATGTCGTCATAAATGTTTGTGGTAGGCTTGAATTAATGAAATCGGGGCAAGTTGTAAATCAGTAGATTGGTCGTTTAAAAGCAAATTGGATGGTTCCGCCCATCCAATTGGACTCTCGGAGGGTATTAGGGACCATGGTTAACATTTCAGCAATTTTAATTTTCAGGCGGAAAAAAAAAAAATCAAAACATATCAAAATTGAAGGCTATAATCCACGCTTTTTGAGAAATTTTGAAGGTTTTAAGGGCTTGTTGTCGAAACGTTTTATGATTTTAGGGGATACATCTCGGGGTCATATAATGTGGTTTGGAACCATATATGATCATTATATGTTGTCATAAATGTTCGTGGTTGGCTTGAATAGATGAAATCGGTACTAATTGTAAATCAGTACATTGGTCGTTTAAAGGGAAATTGGATGGTTCCACCCACCCAATTGGACTCCCAGAGGGTATCAGGGGGCCATGGTAAACATTTGGGCAATTTTTTTTTCCTTGCTAAAAAAAGTTTTAAAAAATCCAAAATTGAAGGCTAATATCCACACTTTTTTGAAATTTTAGAGGTTTTGGGGTCCTGTGTCGAAAAGTCTTGAAATTATATGTGATATATCTCAGGGTCATATAATGCCGTTTGGAACCATATATGATCATTATTTGTTGTTATAAATGTTTGTGGTAGCCTAGAGCTAATGAAATTGGTGCAATTTGTAAACCGGTACGTAAATTGGTTGTTTAAAGGTAAATTGGTTGGTTCCACCAACCCAATGGGAATCCAGGACGGTATTAGGGACCATGGTATAAATGTCAGAAATTATTATTTCTAGGCAAAAAAAAAGTCTAAAAATTCCAAAAATTAAAGGCTAATATCCACGCTTGTTGAGAAATTTTGGAGGTTTCGGGGCCCAGTATCGAAA